GGATGTGTATTAAAACCACACTTCTTCAGCCTTAATCACCTAGTCCTTCAGGTGAGCCCATTATAACTGGGAAAAAACGGCATGAACACACAAGTATGCTGTGGCATTATTCCGAGACTTCTTTTCAAGAGGAGCCATTTCATTAGGGTTTTCAATTCCCTCACAGCCAAACAAATGAACTGCATTCTCAGATATTAAATTAATTATTGGACTGGCTATGGGCTGCTGTGCGTGGCGAGCTCTGCTGTCACAGTGAAAATGTAATTTATGCAGCGCAAATGAAGAGGAATTACCATGCCATGATTCTAAAACCCAACACTGAAAAGAACATGTTGCGCTCACAGCAACCCAACTTTTTAACTTAATATATTCACAACAATTTGGGATATATTTCCTTATTACATTTTTAAATGTCACCAGATGTCAGAGACATGGCTTGAACTGCAGTTACAGCCAATCAATGTTGGTTTTGTTTGCGTTAAATTGAGTTACGAACTGATCTTTTTTTACTTGACTTAAAAGGGACCCTAATTTTCAGGTTGTATTATTGTATTTTGCGCTTCTACCTTGACTTTTTTGCATGCTTTAATGCTCAAAACATAGCTTTATTCTCTAATATACTGCCTGTGCTGCAGCACCTCTCTTCAACCTCTGTCCAGACGAGAGCCCAGTCTGCTCTGATTGGTCAGCTGTGTTTGTTATGATTGGTCAAACGCTTAGATATGTCCCACCCTATCATGTATAATGTGTTGGAGCATTAGCCAATAGAAGCGCGATTGTTAAGCAGTGATTTCACTATGTTGCAGAAGTAAACAAAGGACTACAATGTGGGCCCTCTGCAGACCATTTACATGCACACAAACCTATTTAACACACAGACAAAAAAAAATATATATATATAATAGGGCCCTTTCAGTCGGAGATTCTTTGTCTAAAGTAGATGTGAAAGGTGACATTGCTACAATCATAGCTTTCATACTAACTGCTCTGCAGAAAGTGTAGGACATTGCAACGTTTTGAACAGAACCTGTTACCCAAGAGCAGTGGTTCTCAAATGGGGGTACGCGGACCCCTAGGGGTACGTTGGAGTACTGCAGGGTAGTGTTAATTTCGTCAGCTATTTTTTTATTTAGTTTTAGTCTTAGTCCTGTGCAGAGGTTGCGCTAGACTTTTTCATTTTGACGGGCAGGATCGTAACATTTCCGTCAAAATCCATTATTACCCGTCGGCCTGTACACACGGGGGGGGGGGGGGAGAGCACGCTCGTGAACTGTCAACGGGGGACTGTTAGCGCCGTGTTATGCATGCCCATTACACCTCGCGGGATCGCGCACAGCGTAAAGCAAATACTCACAGTTCTGTTCGGCAAAGTTAGGTTTGGAAACTGTATAATTTGTTAATGCATAACACGGCATAACACCGGAGCCTCGCTGCAAGGACACTGTGGCGCTGTTCTGAGTTTGTTCTAATCCATCAAAATGACGGACGGCTTTCAGATTTTTCCGTCATTGTTAAAAAAAATCCGTCATAGACGGAAAATATTCGGTTAACGCGACCTCTGGTCCTGTGTTACATTTCCTTTTTAGTTTTAGTCATATTTAGTCACCTTCATCCTGTTTTATTTAGTCAAGTTTTAGTCGACTAAAAGTCTGAGCATTTTAGTCTTATTTTAGTCAAAGAAAACTAATTATTTCAATCTACTTTTTTCCAATGAAAACTGTTGAGTCTTTTTTAGTCATCAGATTATATAGAATATTTCAGTCAAACTAGTCTAGCCAAAACCAATAATTTGTCATTTTAGTATAAATAAATAAGATTATATCTTGTCCTTATTTGATGAAAAACACAGGTTGAATGATTAAGAATGCAGCTTTGCAGAGAGTATCTGGTCAGGTTTGTGGTGTTTTTACTGTACCAGCTGTGTTATGGCCACATTGCTTCCCTTCTGATGAAACAATGCATTCACTTTTTATCTCCGCCTCATTGTAGCGAAAACGTGCCCAAATATCACATTGTTTCTTTCTCCCAAGCAGTGGTGGCTTTAGACTTTTTCGTTGTCAGTCATTTTGACAGACAGGATCGTAACATTTCCGTCATAATCCATTACCGGTCGAGTGCACAATTTATCACTCACTCGCGCTGACGGGGAGGTATTCGGTTAACGCGAGTGCGACCACTGCTCCCAAGCCCTGTTGTTGTCATTTTATTTTCTGTTAAATAAGGTTAGTTAGACCGGGGGGGTCGGGGGGCGCCAGGGGGGGTCACGCAAAGTTTGACGGAAAGGGGAATTTTTTTTTTTTTTAAAGTTACATTATTTATTTTTTTAGATGTTATTAATAACTGCATATCTATCAATCTATGTGTCCTCCTTTGATGCCAATATTTTAAGATTTTTTATTTATTAATATATATATATATATTTTTTAAATCACACGACCGCCCTTCAAGCCAATCAGAATCGAGCTGCCGCTACTGAGAGTGAAACTGAGTAACTGCTCAGCTTTTGGAGCACGTGAGAGCTAGTGAATATTTCACTCTGCAGCTGGATGAGAACAAGAGCACGGATGTAACAAATATTGTTGTTTATATATATGAATATAAATATATTTATTGTTAATATTACTGTTGAATATTATATATAATATTATTAAGGCATAAGTAGCTTTCAAAAATGCAAAACATATATGTTAATTGCTCATATTACTGTTCAAAATTATATAATTTTATAAAGACAGGAATCACTTTAAAATATGTTTACTGTTGATATTACTGTTTAATATTGTGTTAAGAATGTGTATAACAGAACACACAATGAATGTAATGAATGACAAACAAAAGATAAATACAAACATTTTTTAGAAGAATAACTGATTATTAATACAAATAAAATATATTAAGCTGTATGACTAATTTGTCATATTCTCCATCATAATGTACTCATAATTAAAAAAAACAAATTGCAACAGGGGGGTCCCCGCCAGAGGATAATGCTATATGGGGGTCCTTGGCATGGCAAAGTTTGGGAACCCCTGAGTTAGACCCGAGTCTTCCTGACATTTCACAGTGTGCCGCTGCCCGGTGTAATTCAAATGTACCGCCGCGCGCAGCACAGAGACACAGCTGCCGCAGCACCGGAAATGGAACTGCTGAAAAACTGACTATCAGAGATGTAACGTTATCTTTGATAATATTTCGTTTCCTCATTTTTCGTCAACGAAAGTAAAGAGAGATTTTGGCATAGTTTTTATTTAGTAAACTACATTTTCGTCTCGTCACTTTTTGCTGAACCTGTAATAAGTGAACCGACAATAAAGAATACATATATTTATAACTAGTTTAGCTAGTTCCAGAGTAGATAAGCTAACTAAGTGTGTTCTAACTCTTAGTGTATTTTGCTCCACTCAACGGTCCGTCACAGCGGGGCAGCTGTGATCCGGAAGAGCTGCTCGTTCTCCGTCAGGAGATCTGATCCGATCTCTGATCTCTCTCTCGCACGTACGGTCTTCACTCGCGTTTATATCCAAATCTATCAGATCTAGCTAGTTCTAGCCAGAGCCCTAGAGAGATAAGAGTTACGACACTCTTTGATGTCGCCGCCAGCCGGTCACGTGGTTTATGTATGCCGGGATAGTTCAAAACGCACTTCCGTTGCAATGCTTCTCTATGGCAAAAACAGCACAAACATGGTCAAAATAGTCAGATTAAACCAACGCTGTTATTTTTTAAAGATTGCTTTCATATTTACATGATGTGGTTACACTTTGTATGGATTGGCACTATTTATAAGTTTCGTTATTTAACGATATTTTGAGGGGAAAGTGTGGTAGCACAAGCAGGCTATGTTGCTGTCACTGCCAGGGCAGTCACGTCCGTAGTATAGTTGCGCTGCGCTGTCATGTTCTTCTATGGGACAGACAGACAGCAGCGATTGCGTTATTGAATGGTACATATATATATATAAAAAAACACACACACACAAGTACTTTTTCAGCTGTAATTGCATTATTGCATACTTTTTATTGACAGTTTTGCATTTGAAGAGGCAGGGTGACAACGGAAAGCTTGGTAGCCTATTACTTAGATACGTTTTACATTTTTGGAGGGAAACGTTTGTGTTCATGTTAGCATGATCATGTTAAGACTATGAATATCATTTTACCACAACAGTGGATGAACAATTGATATATGTGTTTGAACAAGAACAACAGGAAGAACAAAGTAAAAGGGACGAACAAATGTGTGAACAAGTATTAATAACAGTGTATGGAAAAAGTGATGTGATGTGGGATGTGTGTTAGAACAAAACAAAGTAAAATGAATGAGAAGGGGAACAAAGAGGGTTAGGGTTCAACAGAAAAAGATTAATTCAGCCAAAAAACACAATTTTGATTAATCTAAAGTGTAAAACAATCTTCAACACAGACCAAATTAGTGCCCTTGGACAACAAAATATATGGTGGGGCAAAGAAACGATAAATTAAATTGAGAGAGTGGGAGACTAAAAATGATTACTATGATAAATATTCAAACTATTTACAAAACTATTTACAGAAGCTCCTGTTGAACCAGCAACAAAAACAGGTTTGTCAACAATAACGAGGCCACTTTGCCAGGGGGAGGTGATCCAGCGACGAGACAATAAAGCAATTCATATTAGGTTCTGTTGAGACACTACAGAATATAAAACCTTCCAAGCCATGACCTCTGCCTGAAATCAGGACCACTCAGAGGAGAATGCAGCACATCAAACTGGAGTCAGGAGTGTGAATAACACATTTTGGCCAAAACTAATTGTTGCTTACCAATACAGTGACTGAACATTGGACACCAAAAAGTGAAAAACAGAAGCATAATTGTGCGAACAACAATTGTGTGGGGGGGGGGGGGGCATTTTACAAATATTTACAAACAACTATTTACAAAAAAGCAACTATTTATAAAAAAGAAATACTATTTACAAAAAAGGGTTAGGGTAAGCAACTATTTACAAAAAAGGGTTAGGGTAAGCAACTATTTACAAAAAAGCAATACTATTTACAAAAAAGCAATACAGAACTCTTGGGCATCCTAACCATTTTGAAAAAAACAAAAAGGTTCCTTTGTGAAAGGGACATCCTCTTCATCTGTTTCCTGGGCCCTAAAAAGCAGAGCGAGAATAGGAACAGTGGTGAATAAGGGGACAGAATACAGTTGGGAGCAGACTGAACAGAGGACATAGCAATATTCATGTTAAAATGTTTGCACAATAAATATTATGGCACTTTCGTTTATATTGCATTTGAATAGATCAGTTGTCATACCATGGTTGGATGTGCAGCATTTGGATGCTCTAATCGATCCGAGAAGGGGTTCCGGATGTATGGCTTCCCTAAGGACATAGAGCGAAGGAAGAGATGGATGGCAATGGTCAACAGACAAAACCTGTGTCTGACAGAGGACAACAACAACAGCAGAAAACTCTGTCATGTAAGTAATGTTCACAGAGGTGACATGACTTGTTAACATTTTAAAGGGCATCATATTTCCAAGTGTAGAGAATTATGACTCTTCAATGACATTTGAAGTGTGCAGTGGAAACTGATCAAACCTACCTACCTACCTACAGGTACACTTTGAAGACGACCAATATATTGGCAACAAATCAGGAGGAAATTTGAGGTTGAGGCCAGATGCTGTTCCAACAATATTTATACATCGGCCTAAGCCGAAAAGGAGGAAATCCACGTCAAGGAATATGCCTCCAGCTGTCAGGAATGATGACCACACCTATTATGGCACATCAAACATTGGTATGATATATGAAGCTAACGATGTTTCCCATTTTATATAATTCAAGGATAGACTACACTCCTAATGCAACCTTCAGATTATACAGCTTCAAAACTACCAGGGTTCAGGGATTCTCTGAAGACTCATATACCACATGTAGATCATCTACAGATTTCTTCATACTTTAACATTGCCAATAGACGAACTTAGATGAATGTCACTATAGGAGTGTAGTGTACCCTTAAATGACAATAGGTGCACATGTAAAGGGAGCATACACATATAACAGCAATTGCCTTGTTATTGTTACAGAGATTCAGGGAGATATTGAGGTGGAGTTCCAAGGGAATGAAAGGGACATAACAGACAGAGAGAGTGAGACAGATGTCAGCAGACTGCCAGGGGCCAGTAAGTCAGGGGCCGACAATCAAGAGGCCACCTTACCAGAGATCAGTGTGCCAGGAGCCAGTCAGTCAGGGGTCAGCTATGAAGAGGCCAGTTTGCCAGCGTCAGGTGCTCCAGGGACCAGACTGCCAAGGGCCAGTTGTGACCGGGCTCACGTGGAGGATCTAATGGCAACTGAGAAGGGAGAGATTACTAAGAAAGAGAGCAGAGAGGGCTCTGGTAAACCAGAAAAGGATTAATTCGGCATTAAAAAAAAAAACACAATTTGATTAATCTAAAGTTTAAAAAAATCTTCAACACAGACCAAATTAGAGCACTTGGGCAATCAAAAAAAGGTGGGATACGGTGGGGGAAAGAAACCGTGAAAAAAGCAATACAACTAAGGTTCTGTTGTGGCACTACAGGATATAAAACCCTCCAAGCCATGAATATGCCTCTGCCTAACATCATGACCATTCAGAGGAGGATGCAGCACGTCAAACTGGAGCCAGGAGTGTTAGGGGAGGTGTTTGATATGCTGAGGCTGAAGGCAGATGGCATGAGTGAGATGGAGAAGAAATGTGTGCTCACCTTGGATGAGATGTCCATCACCCCTAGCGTGGAGCTGCATCTGGGAACACAACACTACCTGGCCACAAAGGCCAGGCCACTCATGCCTTAGTGTTCATGCTGGCTGGTGCTACTACGCGGTGGAAACAGGTTGTGGCTTACCACTACAGTGGTAATTCTACTGACGGTGCAGTGTACCAACCCATAATACTCACCATTGTTGAAGCAGCGGCATCTATAGGGCTTCATGTGGTTAACATCACTACTGGTATGGGGAGCCCCAATAGGGCTATGTGGAAGTCCTTTGGGGTGACCTATGACAAGCCGTGGACAGCACATCCTGTGAAGCCACACCAGCACCTGTACTTCATGCCTGATGTTCCACACGTGGTGAAGAATTGAAAGAGTGCCTTGGTGAATGGTCACATCATCACCATACCACAGGATGTGGTGGACAAAGAGAAGCTGCCGTCCAGTGTGGTGTCTGTTGGCCCCCTGAAGGATCTGGTGTCATACCAAGAGGGAATGGCCCTAAGCTGTCTAGAGGCGTCCTGGAGCCTAGTCATTTTGAGAAAATGAAGGTCAGTTCAGCAATGCACGTCTTCTCCAAGTCATCGAGTGCTGCCCTGAGGTACATGGTGGCAGAGGAGCACAGACCAGAGTCCTACCTTACCACTGCGTGGTTTTTGGAGACGGTGGACCACTGGTTTGACCTCATGTCGTCACGCAACACTGTTACTGCCCTAAGTCATTTCAAGATGGAGGAGTATGATAAGGCCATCAGCTTCCTCCGGGACTCCATCCATCTGTTTCGGGGCCTGAAGATCGGTCCCAAGGGCAGCTGGAAACCAGTCCAGACAGGACTGGTGATGGCCACAACAACAATCCTGGAGGTCCAGCATGACCTGTTGAGACAAGGGCACAAATTTGTTCTCACAAGCCGCTTCACTCAAGACTGCCTGGAAAACACATTTTCGTCCATTCGTCTGAGGAACTCTGTCCCAACACCTGTAGAGTTCCAATATGCTCTGCGCGCTGTCACTGTGGGCCAGTTCCTATCGCCAGTGCATACTGGCAGTTACGTGGAGGATGGATCAGACCACTTGGCAGACTTCCTGGACACGCAGAACAGCAGCTGCAGTCCTCCTGACGTTCTGAGAGTGTAGCAGCTAGTAGACCTGACAACACCCCCTGACATCACTAAAACCGAGTCCTGTGTGCTATACCACCTTGCAGGATACATCGTGAAAAGGGTCATCAGCTTCTCCCTTTGTGACAAATGCCAGTGTGCCCTAGTGAAAAATGTCAGTGATGGTGAAAATGAGAGAGCTGGTCTGCTGGTATTAAAATAATTTAAAAGGGGTGCATTTTACCGTCCATCTGATGAGGTTTTCACCCTTGTTCAGAACGTGGAGCAGCTGTTCCGTGTGAGGACGAGCGATTCCCTCATGGAGTCCTCAAATGCAGTGTCACAGCTGGAACAAGAAGCCATGTTGCTGGACAGCAACCTTCCCTCATGCCATGACCTGAAGAAAAAAATCCTCTCAACATACATCAGGCTGAGGTTAAGGATTGCATCAAAGTGCATCAGGGCTGAGAGGAAGGATAAACATAAAGTGTATCTTGGCAGCAAGAGTCAGAGTAAGAAGGCAAAGAAGACCCAACAGACCTCTGCACCGAAGGTCATAACATCTAGGCCACTGCCAAACACCTTACTCGTTGCCATCGATGTACTTGGCATCTCCATTCCCGGTCCACCGTCAGCAGCCTCCAGCCTCCTCTTCTTTCAGCAGTCATCACCTGCAGCCGTTGCCAGCACCAGCCTCCTTCAGCAGCAGCACCCTCCAGCAGCAGCACCCTCCTCCAGCAGCAGCACCCTCCTCCAGCAGCAGCACCCTCCTTCAGCAGCAGCAGCCTCCTCCAGCAGCAGCAGCAACAGCCATATGAGGCTGACATATGAGGCTGAATAAAAAAAAGTGCTAATTTTTTTTTAAAAAGTGTTTATTTTGTTAAAAATAAACATTTTGGATGCATGACCATGTTTTAGGCTCATCCTTCATTCACTGCTGTAGAGTAGCCTATTCAGTAGGCTATTATTTGTTTAAGACTGAATAATACCTTTGAAGAACAATCATTAAACTAGTGTGTATATTACAATACAAAGGAATCTATCCTAGCATGCCATCAAGCATTAAAAAGTAGCGCTAGGCTAGTTGTACAGTACAGATGAGTTAACACGGAACAGTAAAAAAAAAAAAAAAGTACAGTCAACATGTCACATAATGAAATGTTAGTATATCCCAAAATTCAATGAAATATTAAATGAAATATTTATCACAAACGCCACCTCATTTATACTAGTGCTAGCAGTTAAGTCATATCATACAGAAAAATACGACTAAGGATGGCTGACACGGTCAGGTTCAGCGGATAAAAACCAAAATAACAATAAAAACACATAATCAATCTAAATCCTGCTTGTTAGTTACCCAGCATCATTGATATATAAGCTGCTAGCGATTCATTACTGAAATCTTACCTTCAAAGCTGACGAAGTCGCGCTAGCTAATTAGCAGGCAATGCTAGCTAAATTGGTTGTAACAACCAAGATAACATATATATAATTACGCTGTGCATATACAAATGAAGACCAGTATAAGCATCATAAAGCGCCTCTGATACATTATAGACAGTTAACAATTCAAAAGAGTTCGATATTTCAGCAACTTACCTCTGGAACTAATCGACGCGCCGTAATGTAAGTGAATGAGGTTCAACGCCCAAATGACAATATTTTTGAACTATTTCGATGTCCATACCCCGGAAGTAGGCGCCGCCATTTTTTACAACGGAGGTCTATGGGAGTGTCGTAACTCTTATCTCTCGAGGGCTCTGGTTCTAGCTAATTATATGACTGCCTTGCTTATCAAAGGACCTAAACAATAAGCGTTGCTTGGCAACGTCTTGTGGCTGCAAAGTATGGAGAGGCGAAGTCCCTCCCCTTCCGAAAGCCTCCATGGGACCCCGGAAGCGGAAAATTATACATTGAAGTCAATGGAGAGAGAAAGGTTATCTTTTGATCCCGTTTGAATTGTGCCACGAATGACACATATGATGTTTGTCAATTTAAAAGAACATTTTGCAAGTCAAAAAAAATAAAAATGTGTCGTAAAACTGTGAAGTTACACATTTTTTTGTGTGAAACCGCTCAGTGAACTACAGGTCTCTGGTCTCGCACAATACGCGTCACCAACATAAAGATGGCCGTCACGTTAGCACATTTCACCACATTCTTTCAGAATGAGAATACAATTATTTTACGAGGTGAAAATCACTACAAGTCTGGGCACGTTGAGAGCTGTACCTATATGAAAGGGGAGTTAGTCGGTTCTGTAAGAGCCAGCATGCGGGACCGGCTTTACAAGGTTTCGGTGAGTAATATGAGTGCAATGTTTAACGTTAATGTCAGCTAGCTAACATTAGCTAACAAGGTACACTAACGTGTTTTGTTTTAGCAACTAGTTTTCTCCTTAAGAACTTCGTGGTCTCTGTGTATGCTATGGATAACATTAGTGTTCACAAGAACAAGGTACACTCCCGTGTTTTGTTTTAGTTGCTCTTCAGATTGAAGCGGCCAGTTTTATATCGATTATACTGTATGTGTGATCTCCTTTTTCTCGTTGTGTCATTTGACTTTATTTGCTGTGTGTAGATTCAAGGATTTTGGTTATCTAGGCACAGCTGTGTGTGACTCCCTCTGGTACACTGGTATGTGTTTTCCTAATGTAGAGAGCATTGATTAATTAATAAACTACACACTGAGTCTAGATCCTGACCAAATCCTTTTTTATTGTTGATCAAATGTTTTTCAAAAATGTATTCATACACATTTAGAAAAATACAATGTACAATCACAACCAATACAACACAAATTACAAAAAATACAGAAAAAACAAACAATAACAACAGA